AGACCTGTGGGCACCATCAAGCATATCAACATACATTTAATGGGAGGCTCGGAAAGAGAAGGTACAGGGAAAGAAGCAGAAAAATTTGAAGAAATAATGGCCAAAATCTTCCCAAATTTGAGGAAACATGAGTCTGCACATCCAAGAAAGTCAATGAGCTTCAAGTAGAATAAACTCAAGGAGATCCACACTGAGACACATTGTAATCAAATTATACAAAGAGAAAATCTTAAAAGCATCAAGAGAAAATATAAATAGGAACTTTATCATCAGAGAGGAATTCCTCATCTCATAGAGACTAGATTTCTCATCAGAAACTGTGAGGACAGAAAGCAGTGGAATGACATATTTAAAGTGATGAAAGAAAAATCTGTCAACCAAGTAGTTTATATTCAGCAAAAGTATCCTTCAAAAAATGAAGGAGAAATTAGGACATTTCCAGATAAATAAAAGATCAAGAATTCATCACTAGTGGACCTGCCCTACCAAAAATGATAATTCAGGCTGAAATAAAATGCACTAGACAGTAACTTGAAGTTATAGGAAGAAATAAAGACACCAGGAAAGGTGTCATCTTTGGTAGTTTGTATGATTATCAGGATTTTTTCCATTATGTCTAGGTCACCTAATTTTTTGGTGTGCAGTAGTTCATAGTATTCTCATATAATCATTTTTACTTATGTAAGAACACTAATGATGTTTCCTTTTAATTTATGATTTTAGTAATTTGAATCTTCTCTTTTTTTTCTTAGTGTAGCTAAAGGTTTGTCAATTTTGTTGCTCTTTTCAAAGAACCAGCTTTTGGTTTCCTTGATTCTCCCTATTGTTTATTTAGTCTTTATTTCATTAATCTGTGCTCTAAGCTTTCTGTCCTTCCTTCTGCTAGCCTTGGGGTTAGTTTGCTCTTCTTCTATTTCCTTTAGGTGAAAAGTTAAGTTTTTTATTTGAAATCTTTCTTTTTTAATGTAATTGTTGACAGCAATAGTGTTGAGCAGTTTTCGCTGTATCCCACAAATATTGGTTTGTTGCATTTTCATTTGCATTCATCTCAAAGTATTTTCTAACTTTCTTTGTGATTTCTTCATTGACCCATTTGTTGCTTAAGTATGTCATTTAATTTCCACATATTTGTGAATTTTCCAGTTTTCCTTTTGTTAATGGTTTCTAGTTTCTTTCCATTGTGGTCAGACTTCGTATGATTTCAATATTTCAAAACTTACTGAGATTTGTTTTGTGGCTTAACAAAAAAATCTAGCCTGGAGAATGTTCCATGTACACTTGAGAATAATGTGTATCCTGCTGATGAACTGAGTGTTTTACATATGTCTTAGGTCTTGTTGGCTTATACTATTCTATTTTATTATTGTTCTTGGATCCAGTTGTTCTATTATTTCATTTTTATTATTGGAAATGACTCATCAAAGTACTGCAACTGTCTATTTCTTCAGTTCTGTCCATGTTTGCTTCACATATTTTGGGGTCTGTTGCTAAGAGTGTATATGCTTATAACTGCTCCATCTTCTTCCTACATTAACCCCTTTATCAATACATAATGTCCTTAATTGTCTCCTACCACAATTTTTGACTCAAAGTCCATTTTGCCTGTGTTTGCTATAGCCACCCAGTTCTCTTTTGGTTACTAAATGCATGAAATATCACTTTTATCCTTCCACTTTCAATCCATTTGTATCTTTTGATCTAAAGTGAGTGAACAAACTGAAGAAAAAACAAACAAGCTGGATAGACATAAAACAAGTAATGAGATTACATCAGTGATCACAAATCTCCCCAAAAAGAAAATCCAAGGACCACATGGCTTCAATGCTGAATTACACTAAACATTTAAAGAACAATTAACACCAACCCTTCTCAAGCTTTTCCAAAAAACAGAAGATGAGGGAACACTTCCTAACTCATTCTATGAGGTTAGCATTATCCTGATTTCAAAGCCAGAGAAACACAACAAAAGAAAACTACAGACCAATATTCCTTATAAAGATTTAAAAATCCTCAACAAAATACAATCAGACCAAATCCTGCAGCACATCAAAAGGATTATACACCAAAACCAAGTGGGATTTATCTTAGGAATGTAAGACTGATTCAACATAGGAAAACCAATCAGTGTAATGAACCACATCAATAGAATGACAGAGGGGGTAAATGCACATGATCTCAATTGATGCAGAAAAAGCATTAGACAAATGCCAACACTCTTTCATGATACAACCACTCAACAAAATAGAAATAGAAGGGAACTTCCTCATCATAAAAGAGGGCATTATGAAAAGCCCACAGCTACTATCATATTCAATGTTGAAAGACTGAAAGCCTTTCCCCTAAGATCAGGAATGAGAAAAGGATGCTCACTATTTCTATTCAATATTTACTGGAAGTTCTAGTCAGAGCAATTAGGCAAGAAAAAGAAATAAAAGACACTCAAATAAGAAAAGGAGAAATAAAATTTACCACAAAGCTACAGTAATCAAAACAGTTGTACTAGCATAAGGACAGAAAAATAGACTGATGGAGTAAAATTGAGAGTCCACATACAATCTATGGTTAATTGGTTTTCAGCAAGAGTGTCAAAATCATTCAATTGGGAGAGAATAGTCTCTTCAACAAACGGTGCTGGAATGACTGTGTATTCACATGCAAAAAAAATGAAGTTGAACCCCACCTCACACCATATATAAAAATTAACTAAAAAATGGGTCAAAGACCTAAATATGAGAGCTAAAGCTATAAAACTCTCAGAAGAAAGGAATAAATCTGCATGATCTTGAATTTGGCAATGGTTTCTTAGATATGACACCAAAAACCCAAGCAACAAATGAAATCAATAAATTGGACTTCATCAAAATTAAGATGTTTTGTGTATCAAAGGACACTGTTAAGAGAGTGAAAAGATAACCCACAGAATGGGAGAAAACATTTGCAAATCACAATTCTTATAGAGGTATAGTGTCCAGAATACATAAAGAATTCCTGCAACTCAATCAAAAGACCAAAAATCCAGTGAAAAATGGGCAAAGCACTTTGATAGACATTTCTCCAAAGAAGAACACAAATGGCCTACAAGCACATGAAAGGAAGCCCAATATCACTAGTTGTTAAGGAAATGCAAATCAAAACCTCAATGAGATGCCACCTCACACACACAATAGTGGCTATAATTAAAAAAACAACAACAAATGTCTGGGAGTATGTGGAGAAATTGGAATCCTTGTACACTGCTGGTAGGAATGGAATATGGTACAGCCACTGTGTTAAATGGTCTGGCAGTTCCTCAAGAGTTCATCAGTGAGTTATCATATAATCCATCAAATCTACTCCTAGATATAAACTCAAAAGAATTGAAAAGATGTGTTCAAACACAGCTTGCACAAAAATGTTCACAGCAGTACTATTCGCATTAGCCAAAAGGTAGAAACAACCTAAATGCCCATTGACTGATGAATAGGTAAATAAAATGTGGTATATCCACATGATAGATTATTCATCCATGAACAGGACCAGAGCACTGATACATGCTACAGTGTGGATGAACCTGGAAAACACTAGGCTACGTAAAAGAATTCAGACAGAAAAACCCCATATTGTAGGATTCCTGTTATATGAAATGTGCAAAGCAGAGAAATCTGTAGCTAGACAGAAAGCAAACTAGTGACTGACAGGGCTGGTAGTACTGGATTTCCTTTTGGACTGACAAGAATGTTCTGGAACTAGATAGTGGCCATGATTGTACATCATTGTGACTGTACAAAATGTCACTGAATTGCACACTTTAAAATGGATCTGTCGTAAATTTTATACTATGTTATCACGATTTCAAAAAGTCACACCTGCTAAGGGTTTCTGGGAGTGAAGCCCCACGCTCAGCAGCACTGGGAATGATCAATACTGTAAATCTTGGTTGATCTCACAGGTGGGACATTCATGCTTAATTTGAGAAACATTAATTATCAATGAGATCAAGTAGCTTTCCATATGCTTATTGGAAATATGAATGTTTTGGATTTTGTATGGGCTTCTTTTATATCTTTTCCTATTCTAGTTGCAAGGATTTCTTAATTTTCATGTTAACCTTTCATCCATCACAAATATTGCAAGTATCTTCTGCCAGTTCAATATCCTCATTTTGTACCCAAAAAAGATTCCCTTTGGGTTTTGATGGAAATTATGCTGACGATGAGTTGTCCCAGAGTTTCTCCATATTATCTTCACTCCATAGCCCCTCCTCCAGATCAAATCCCATTGCACGCTTAGGCGGGCCCTGACCCGCAACCTGCCTCCCCCGGATGATGGACCACGGGCTCCAGGGGACGTGCTTTAGGACCCAAAAGTCAGTCCCTGAATCTGTTCCTCCTAACAAACCAAGGACCTCAGGCCTCACTGGAGCACCCCTTCTGCTTCATGCGGAGGGGCCCTCTCCATACTCAGGCCTCACCCTCCTTGCTGTCCTTGGTGGGCACAGATCAGCGAGGTTCCCGGAGCCCTCTGAGGAGGGTTCTGTCCCCACATTGCCTCTTTCCCAAACCGGGCACCTCCGACCTCTTCTCTTCCCCCTCACAGGCCAGGCCAGCTGTCCCAGGGGAGGGCCTGTGCACAGGAGCCCACACGGAGCACAGGGCCTACACCTCGAGCCATCACCTGGAGCCTCGGCACATAACCTGCCCACTGGAAGCCCCGTGGTCAGCCACAGGGAGGCTGCACCTTCCCTCTGGGTATCTCTGCAGGGCCCAGGCTCAGGCCAGGAGGGCCAGCCTTGCCCAGCCCCATCTGACTTTTACGAGCTGAGCGAGAACATGTCACGAAAACAAAACTGGCCCTAATGACAGCCCTCACAGTGCAAAACACCATCTAGGGAGGGACAGCGTGTCCTGCGGGGGCAACACATACACCTGGGAGGGGTATAAAAGCCCTGGGCACACTGCACACACACACACACACACACACACACACACACACACACACACCCCTCCAGCCCACCACCCACCATGGCCACCTCCACCCTGTCCCTCTGCTCCAGTGACCTGAGCTACGGCAGCCGGGTCTGTCTGCCCGGGTCCTGGGGCTCCTGCACTGGCCCCTCCTGGCAGGGGGACGACTGCCCCAAGAGCTGCTGCAAGCCCCCCTGCTGTGCCCCCAGCTGCTGCCAGTCCAGCTGCTGTGCCCTGGCCCCCTGCCTGACCCTCGTCTGCACCCCTGTGAGCTGCAGGTGCAGCCCCTGCCAATCAGCCTGCACCAGCTTGTGCAAACCCTCCTGCTGCCAGCTGTCTAGCTGCCAGCCCTCCTGCTGCACCTCTTCCCTGTGCCAGCAGGCCTGCTGCATGCCTGTGTGCTGTGAGCCCATGTACTGTGTGCCCGTCTGCTGTAAGCCCGTCTGCTGCAAGCCCGTCTGCTGCAAGCCCGTGTGCTGCAAGCCCATGTGCTGTGTGCCCGTCTGCTCTGGGGCTGCCCCCTGCCCAGCGCTCCCATGCTGCCAGCCCACCCCCTGCCCCCCATCCTGCTGCAGACCCTCCTCCTGAGTGTCCCTCATCTGCCGCCCTGTGTGCAGGCCCGCCTGCTGCGTGCCCGCCTCCCCCTGCTGTGCCCCCGCCTCCCCCTGCTGTGCCCCCGCCTCCCCCTGCCAGCCCAGCTGCTGCCGCCCCGGCCTCCTTGGTGTCCCTGCTCTGCCGCCCCACGTGCGCCCGCCCCGCCTGCTGTGGCCCCGCCCCGGCCCAGAAGTCCTGCTGCTGACCCCTCCCAGACCTCCTCCAGGGTCCTCTCTCCAGCAGGAGGCCAACTCTCAGCTCCCTGCTCCCCTCTGACTTCCACCGCCACGCGGGTAGGCAACCCTTCCTCCTGATGAGCTTGTGGCTCTGGGACCTGGAATGCTGCCAGGTCCATCCTGATGCCGGCGGAACAGGGACACCCCAGTAGCTCCCCCAGTGCCCCTTGAGTCCCAGCATGCTCCCCAAGCCTCAGCAGGCCTGGCCCCACCCCAGGCAGTGCTGTCACCCCGAGTCCTAATAAAGCTTGTCTCAAGCTGACCTTCTGTCCTGTCCATGGACATACTGGGGCAAGTGTGATGGGGAACACCTGGTGCTGGCATCTGTGAACCCCACAGACCAAGCCCCTTCTGAGCCCTGTGGGATCCCCAACCCCTGACGCCCTGCACACCTCAGGAAACTGCCTCTGGGACCAAGGCCAGGGGTTGGGGACACAGTGAGCCCCTGCCCCATCCCCCAACCCTCAGCAGCCATGGGCCTCTTCCCAGCCCAGAGGCTGCCCCCAGGCTCAGGCGGCCTGTCCATGCCCAGTCCCATACCCAGCAGCCTTGCCCACCCAGTTGCCACTAGGGAGACCAGCCCAAGGACCACAGCATCTATTCCGGCAGCCAGCAAGGCGGCCTCTGCCCCAGCCGGTCCCTGACCCCTGCCAGCAAGACATGGGGCCCACAGCCTCGGCTTCTCCTGGGTGTTCTTGGGGTGGCTGCTGGGTCCCAGCCAGGGTGTGGATGGCAGTCTGCATCGGCTGAGGAGGCCAGCCCCACACAGCCACCCGGGGGCTGCCTCCTGGACTCCTGCTCCCAGACCCCCACCTCCTGTCTGACGCACCCACAGTCCTGGCTCCCTGAGCCCCATCCTCTTCTGCTCCCTGCACGGAGCCCTGAGGCCTGTGCCCCGCAAGTGGGCAGACACCTGAGCCCAGGCAGACCCAAGGCCCCTTCTGCAGCCCAAGTCTCCCAGGTCTCTTCCGAATGGCCCTCTGGCTTCTGCCTGCTGCTCTTGGGCCTGGGGCTCAGCCGTGCTCCAAGGTCCCACGTGGGATGTGGGGTGCAAAGCCGCTGCACTCTGCTGCTGGGCAGCTGTGCCCATCTGAGGCCCCAGACCCCACCCTGCTGGAGCAGGTAGACCAGAGAAAGCAGACATAGAGGGACAGCCAGCCAGGTGGCCAGGCAAAGACAGCACATGAGCAGGACCAGGCCCCTCCCGCCCCCATCCCATCCCCACCGTGCTCGCCAAGGTCAGTACAGCGGACCCCTCCCTCGCTCCTCCCTGCAGCAGGCCCCCAAGAATAGGCAGCAGGGCCACCCCAAGAGCCAAAAGTCAAGCTGACACAGGCTTGTCCGCTTTCCTGGGAGCAAGGCCAGGTCCCTGAGAAGAGATAAAACGAGGAGCCCGGGCAGCGGAGATGTCGGCTCTCTGTGGTTCTGCAGCAGTTGCGGGCTCGAGCCTTCGTCAGGGATTCAGGTGGTGCCCTCACACTTTGGAGGCTGCTCCGGCCCAGTGGTTCTGGGCCTCTCTGGGCCTCATGGCCACCGCAGGTCCAGAAGAGCTGCACAGAGGGCCTGGGCTCCCTCCCGGACCTCGTCCGCGTGGTCCTGTCGCCACGCATGCTCTCACCCGTGTCTGTGGGCCAGGTTCCCGGGGAGCCCTGTACTCCTGGGAGGAGTCCATGGCCCCGCTCCTCGGCGAAGCCCCACTGATGTTTTCTTCTGCTCTGCCAGAGCCCCGTCCTAGGCGCAGGAAGGCTGTTCCTCAGAGTGTTGGACCTAGAGTCACAACATGAACCAGCAAGCGCCCTTCTAGGCATCCACCCAAAAGAACTGAAGACAGGTCTTCAAACAAAGTTCGCACACACACGTTCATAGCAGCCCTACCCTCAGTAACCACAAGGGAACAGCCAAAGCCCTGTCGTCACCTGAAGCGGACGAAGCAAAGGTGGCCTCGCCGCCCAGTGGAGCACACGCAGCCGTACTTGGGAGCACAGCGCCGACCCGCGTGCACGTGGGTGAACCCTGAGGACATCATGCTGGGTGAGAGGAGCCAGTAGGGGAGGGCCACGCTCAGGGAGATGCCCAAAGCAGGTGAGCCCACAGAGGCAGATGGCAGGCTGGGGCGGCCAAGGGCGGGGGCTGCTGGAGAAGGGGGAGTGGCTGCTCATCATTGCAAGGGATTTGGCAGTAGGTTGAAAATGCTCTGAAATCAGATCCTAATGAGGGCTGCACAACTCTGTGAGTGTACTGAACACTAGGACATTTGCGTTAAAGGGAGTGAACTTTATGGCAGGTAAATTATATCTCAGAAAATCTGTTAAAACAAAAACCTCACTCCATTTCCAGTTTTCACTGATTTACCAACCAATGCTTTCATATCCCCTGCACCCAGATAAAAATCGATGTACTTAGAGCAGTGAGAAAACCAAGTGCCATCAGCAGACCAGAGTCATTTTCTGGGAAGAACAGTGGAAAACTCAGGTTGACTTTCAAAGTCAACAGAAAGGTAGGTGTCCACAGGCTGTAAAAATGGCTTTTTGCAGAGGGCCTGGAGTGGCTCCCGGGTAGCAGTAGCAAGAACTGTGACTGGGGACAGGCTGTGTGTGACCCCTAGTCATGGACCACTGGACTCAAGCTCTGCAGAGTGACCCCCAGTGCATCCACCCAGCTTCGAGTAGAGACAGGAGAAGGGCCAGCATCTCCCAGCCTTGGCCACAGGGTGAGCAGTGCTCTGGGAAACTCAGAGACAAACGGGGGCCTGTGTCTGGCAGACAAGCTCCCCCACTGCTCAAAGCCCCAGGCGTCAGCTCTCCACTCAGAGGGACACGTCTTCTCATGCAGAAGGCCTGCCTTCAATGATCAGTCCAGATGCTAGCGTAAAACTGAATAACAATCAAGGGTTGCCACAAGAAGCAAAACCCGGGACAAGTGATACAATAGGCACCAAGGAAATGGAGAGGCTATCGCTTCCTAAAGAAGAACAGGATGTGATTGAGTGAGAGAGAGAGAGAGAGAGAGAGAGAGAGAGAGAGAGAGAGAGAGAGAGAGGGAGCGAGGGCGAGAGCGATGGAAGGAGGGAGACAGGGAAGAGAAGCATGCAGAGTTCCTGGAAACTAAAAGCCTTACACTCCAAATAAAAATGAGAGTCAATAGATACATAGCGCAACTGACTGCAACATGGACAAAAGCTAAAAGGGCAACTGGGAGGATCAGGCAGGGATTCACCCTCAGCAGAGGCAGAAGGACAAAGAGATGGAGACAAGAGGCTAAGACACAGGGAGGGCGAATCCGGGACACCCACCGTCTGCCACCCTGGCCGGAGCCCTGGAAGAAGAGAGCCCGAGAATGGAAGACAATGACCGAACAAATCACAGAATAAATGCTCCTTGAGCTGGAAGCTGTGAGTGATGCTAAGCTGAGACCAAAATAAGCCAATGAAAGCATGCCAGGGACACCCAGAGGGCAGGTTTCTGGTGAAATTAATGAGCTACATGGAGAAATTTCTGCAAGGTTCTAGAAAAAGAAAAAGTTACAAACCCTCAGTCATACCAGCAGGAGACCCCTCAGAGGCCAGCCTCTGCCAAAGGCCGAGAGAGGCGCACTCCGATGCAGACTCCCTGCGCTGACCTGCACCCCCAGGAGCCTGGATGTCCACCACCCCAGAAACTTCCAAAAGCTGTACTCGGTGATCTCTGTCAAAACGATGACCCATCCCTCAAATGAGCACAGAATGTGTCCAGTGCCCACCTCAACGGCTGCACTAAGGAGGGTCCTCCCAGCCCTAAAGGCAGAAGCGGCTTCCCTCCGCAGCGACCCCACCCTAGTAATGTCTGGAAGTGCACCCCCACCCACCTGGAAATGTTTAAGCCCTTTCTACAGAACTTCTGTTTATAGTGAAAATTAAAGTGGATATTATAGACTCTCTGGCAACTAATGATCTTGAAAACACTGTGCCAAAAATAAGACAGTGTGGAAAAGTGTTACTAACAAAAATGTATGGGACAGAAAGTAGAATTTAGGCATCTGACTCAATACTCTACAGAAAAAAAATACTTTAAAAAATAAATTTTAAAAGAGAGGGAGGAATGAACTTTACAAGATTTAAAGGAAAAATTAATGAAATCTAGAACAAAAGACTGTCTTTTTAAAAGCACCAATAAAATGTCAAAAGCTCTGGCAAGTGTAGTAAAAATAAACATATTAAAAATGGAAAAGGAATAGGCTCACAGATTCAGGGATTTTTGCTTTTAAGTATAAGAAAGTAGTATGCATATATTTATCCTAAAATCTGAAAATATAAATGAAATATAGCATGTTCTAAAAGATATAAATTACCTACATTGACTATCAAAATGAAAGAAAATATTGAAAAGATATTTACAAATTCAGCACTCCAGTTTGAAAAAGACAGATGCACCCCTATGTTTATCGCTGCACTATTTACAATAGCCAAGATATGGAAGCAACCTAAATGTCCATCAGTAGACGAATGGATAAAGAAGATGTGGTATATATAAACAGTGGAGTATTATTCAGCCATAAGAAAAAAACAGATCCTACCATTTGCAACAACATGGATGGAGCTAGAGGGTATTATGCTCAGTGAAATAAGCCAGGTGGAGAAAGACAAGTACCAAATGATTTCACTCATATGTGGAGTATAAGAACAAAGGAAAACTGAAGGAACAAAACAGCAGCAGAATCACAGAACCCAAGAATGGACTAACAGTTACCAAAGGGAAAGGGACTGGGGAGGATGGGTGGGAAGGGAGGGATAAGGGTGGGGAAAAAGAAAGGGGGCATTATGATTAGCATGTATAGTGTGTGGGGGGCATGGGGAGGGCTTTGCAACACAGAGAAGACAAGTAGTGAGTCTACAGCATCTTACTATGCAGATGGACAGTGACTGTGAAGGGGTATGTGGGGGGGACTTGGTGAAGGGGGGAGCCTAGTAAACATAATGTTCTTCATGTAATTGTAGATAAATGATACCAAAATAAAATAAAATAAAATAAAATAAAGATATTTACAGGTCTGATTCTTCAAAAGGCACAGATTCAGTTGTAAAGGTTTATACCATCAGCCTTCAACACAGAGGCCTTTCCTATGAATTTAAACATTCCAGAGCTTAGAATAAGCCAGAAGACCTCTGGATTTATCTAGTAAGGCTGGCAAAACTTGGATACCAAAACGAGCAACAATGGGAGGGGTGGACTGACTGTGGACCCATCTCATCTGAGAATATAAAGCAAGAAATTCTAAATCAAGTGCTAGCAAATTTAATATTAAATTAATAATAAACCAATTTAAGGTAGAGTATATCTCAGCATGCAAGTTGGAAATGATATAATTAACTATACTAGTAAGTGGAAACAGAAGCCATTAGAACTCTCAACAGATTTAACACACATACACATGAACACACACCCAGGATTCAACTCATTCTTTACTTAAAAGCCCAAAGCAAAATGCTTGGTAAACTAGGAACAGAGATAAACCACAAGAATTTGGTCAAAACTCTGCTGCCAACTGGGAGAATCAGCTTAGCCAGCAGCTGCAGAAGGTCCTTGGGTCACCTTCAGGAGCAAGACAGGAGGGCCCTCTGACCCCAGCTTTCACTCAGTGCTGTACTCGGCATCCTAGCCAATAACTGAGTGAAATAAAAGGAAAGCACATGTTCCGGAAAGGGAGAATGAATGGTGTGTCCCTCACAGCCAGCGTGGCTGCCATACAGCTTCCCCAACTCTCATCTCCCCCAGCATCTCCCTGTCTGCCCAGCCAGGACCTGCAAATCATGGCACTTCCACCCTTGCTCAAATGCCCAGATATGTTTTTCCTGTTTTTAAAAATCACTGCTTCATTGGACCTTTCACTGAAACTACCCTGCCAGCCCCAACCACCTGCCCCCTGATGCATAGGGGCCTGTCTCAGGGAGGGCAGACTGGACTTGGGCCAGGGACCCTTGAAGAGCTGTGGCTATGGCAATGGCAGCTGAAAGTCTCTGTGGATGTGCAGAGATGATGGAGAAGGGGGCCACACAAAAGGAGCCGGGCCACAAGGGAGAAACAGAAGACGATGAGGGTCCTGATACCCCTTCGGGTGAGCTGGACCCCAGAGACAGCTGTGAGAAGAGGAGAGAAAATCATAAACCTGCACCAGGCTTGCCCAGAAGCCAGCACCAGACTTCCTAAGTGCCATTAGCCTCAAGCCCACATCCCCCCAACATTCCCACACACAAAACCCACAGCTTCCCAGGACAGCTCTGGGGTGGGGGGAGCACCGCAAAGCAAAGCCCTTTATGACATGATGGGGTCTCAGGTTCCCTACCCGCCATAGGGTCTCCACCATTCCCGGCATTTCTGCATCTGTGAGAGTGGGTCCCAGAGCAGCACCACACGCCGCAGTGGACCTGGACTGCACTCAGGCAGTGCCTGACTGTCTGTGCCATGAAGGACCAATAGCACCTGCCATACTAGTGTGGTTATTACTATTTCTATCATTTCCCTAAAGCATCACCAAACTCTTCAACTCTGGAAAGTAGATTAAGCAATGGTTTCCTTACGACCCTAACAAGAGCCATTGAAAAGATATCTAGCCAAGCTTGGATTAACACATAGTCTACAGGCACACACCTGATCATCTACATTTGCTCTTTTACAACACTAAACTGTTTTCTACCTTTATCTTGCATCTACCTACCACTTCAGCATTTTATTAAAAATAATAATAATAAAGAGAGAAATGTGGTACCCACATACAAATCAAGTATAAAAATCAAACGAATATTCATATTTGAACTGATTGTTTATAGTTCATAATGTGTGATCAAAACCAAAAGTCTCTGTGATGACTGCCCTTGTACTGTTCACCATGTAACTTATTCACTATGTAAGAATTTGTTCTCCATGTAAGAACTTGTTC